CTGACTTTGACAGGTTTCTTTGTGTTGAAGGCTTAACCCCAGTATTTCTTCCAAGAGGTATGGTCAGAAGGGCCTTTGGATAATTCCCTTGTACATAGACCCTGCCGAAGGAGCGGTCCCTCAACCTAAAGGCCTTTTCACTCCGAGGATCTTGAACATAATCTATGCAGCCCTCTTCACTGTGGAGGCTGTGCTGCGATTCGCGGCGCAAGGCTTCTGGGGCTACGTCTGGACCGGCGACGACTGGTCCTGGAGCCCTGGCCAAAAGCAGCTGGCAAATGGATTTCGCCGTGGGGCCCTCGCTGGTTCTCGGAGGGTGGGGGAAAGACCTTGACGTGCCCTTGGGGGCACCAGCGGTGTTTGTTTGCTCTCAGGAATTGGCTCGACATTTTCGTGGTGGTGTCCTCCTGGGTTGAGCTGGCCTCTGGCCTGATCACCCAAGAGGCTGGCCCAATCGCGATGTCTTTCTATGCCACCGCCCCTGGATTCCTGAAGCATGTTCTTTTTCCTTTTGAAGCCATCCGAAAATATCCTGAGCCAATGCCAAAACGAGAAACGGGGCTCTTCCAGTCCCACAAATCCGAACTCACCAATGGAGCCAGGGAGACAACACGCTCGGTGCGGCCAACACCAACTTGCGCGCCCCGGCCGGAAAAACCTCGGGGTCGGCTCTTGAGGGGGGTGGGGGGGGTGGCGGGGTGTTGTATCTGGCTGTTCCCAACTTGTGGTCCCAGGTTCCAGCCCGTTGGTCCCAGGTTGGTCCCAGAGGGTTGGTCCCAGAGGGTTGGCCCCAGGTTTAGGTTGGTTCCACACGGTTGCTTCTAAAGGTGGTCCCATTCCAACACCAAAACAAGTTGTTCTCCCACTGTTTCCCCCTTGCACTCTTCGACAGGCTCGCAAGTTTGGGAACTTAGAAGGAAGGCCAAGTTGCTTGAGAACCCATGGGAGGTGGTCAGGCCGTTTTGGATCTCGGGTAGGCAGAGAAAGAAAGCTGCGGAATGAATCATGTTTTAGGCGTTTTTAAAAAGGCCTGTGCGGTAGTCCACACGCAGGGGTGCGACAAACAACTTTCAAAATCAACAATGTTCTTTTGAAACAATCATATTTATGTTGAATATTCTTTTGATAGAATGACTGTTTCTAAACAAGTTTTTGAAACATCTTTTTCAATTAAAAACAAGTTTCACAAATAATGAGAAAGTTTCCAAAACAACTTTTTGGGCATGATGAAATATGTCTTCTTTTCTTTGGCAGCAAGTTAGTCAAATGAAATGGTTGTTGACATCACCGGTCACTTAATCCAGAAGCAATATCTTGGAAACATTTGCTTGGCGAGATACTGAAGGAGTTACATTGAAGCTCTTTGGTAAGCATTTTCATCGCAGCCTGCCCTTTGGCTCAATGGCTGCCCTGGGGCTGGATCAGGTTTTAGAGCTTGCCAACGAATATGACGCGCAGGGCAATGAAGGCCGCGGTGAAGGCGCAGAGAGGGAGCGCCGGCGCGGCCGGGGTCAAGCCCGGCGCCAGCCATTAGGAAGAGGCCTAAGGCAACGCAATCAAAGGGCGAATCTGCAGGCCCGCCGGGCTGGGGCGCGCTTTGCGGTCAAGAAACGGCAGCTTGTCTTGCAGAGCGAGCACTTCAACAAGACAGGGCAGGCGCGCACGCAGGATCACCAGCTACCAGATGCAGAGCTCAGCAGAAAGGTTGCCACAGGCAAAGGGAAATGGAAGACCTGGACGCCCGAAGCTGTTCTTAGGGCTGGGTTCGGGCACGAGACAGCGACCTGCAGACAGGTAGCGAGCGAGGTGGAGGGCGCGTCTGCGAGCCATTCGCGAAATGCTCGGTTTGCTTGCGCGTCGGCGGCTTGCAGGTTTCAAGAACAAAGCTGTGAGAAGGTCGCAGCAGACTCGTTGGCCCGCCCTTTGAAGATTTTCATCAGAAGCTTGATGTTTGACGAGTCTAGCTTTGCGTTGAAGGTCGGCACAGACCCGGCAAACAGCTGCTCAGTGTTGTGCTCGCATGCGCAGTGGGCCATGGCCTCTCCTCCCAGCGTGGCGGGCGGCCAACCCACTATCAGGGACGAGCATGTTGTCCGACCTCCGCAGATCTTGGCACCAATGAATAGCGCCACAATGTGGAAAACATTGTCGGAGCATCCAGGAGGCCTCGGGCCATGCAACGTGGCAGCCGAGCACACTTGTACGCTAACTACGTGCGATTCCCATTCAGCAAACATCAAAATGCTTAAGCATTTCGACAGCACCCTTCCAGCCGACCACTTATTCCTGCCCACTTTATGTGCGCAGCACAGGAACGGGAACGTGGTAGAACAACTAACGCACTTGCTGGGGAATTTGTCTGGTTGTTTTTGTGTTTCTCGAGTGCTGAACTCCCGGCACGCGGTGCAAGCCCTACGGCGGCGAACGCGCGCTGCGCTGGAGCGGGACTTGGTTTTCTTGGAGTCCGAGCCCGTTGGCGTTCAGGCGGAGTGGGCCGAAGCAAGGTCGCTGACCAGGAGGTTTTTAAAAATGGCAGCAATGTTTGACGCTGCTGCCAAGAAAGATGATGACAGTGCAGCTGACGCGGCCGCCGCTGGCGAGGCACAAGTCGAGCTCCCTGCCGGCCGAGCGCAGCTCCTGGATTTCTTCAACGGCCCGTGGTCAGGACTACCTTTGGCATGCGTGGGTTGGGTTACAGCCAAGAGTGTTCAGTTTTTGTTGTGTTTAGTCTATGCATGCAGGTTTGTGCGACGTAACCTTTTAGACGGGTGTCTTTGCCGGGTTCTTGTCGGCGTTTGGCTTTTTTGTTTTTTGGGGCCAGTGTTTGGATGCAAGCATGCGTGTCGTAGCTTTTTCTGCTCGCAGTCTTTTGACTCTGACAGCGCCCTTTCTGTGCTGCAATGGCCGACAGCGCAGATCTAAGTGTTGGCGAAGTTGAGCAGCCCTGCGGGAAGGGAGGGCCGCAGGCCGAGGCGGGCCGGGCTAGCGCCGGGCCGCTGGCCAGCGAGAAGGGAGGTCCTGTGGCTGAGAAGGAAGGGCCGCTGGCCGGCGTGGCCAGCATGGCTGACACAGGGCCGCAGGCCGCGGGCGTTTCTGGCACAGGGGCGCAGGCCGCGTTGTCTGGCAACGCAGCCTTGGAGTTCTTGCTCCAGAGACGTTCGCGGAACACTGGCTTTGCGGACTGGATGCACTCGCTGGCCCCGGCTGACGCTCGCAGAGTCATCTTGAACAAGGCAGATGCCTTCGGCACCACGAGCGCAGACGCGCAGGTGCAGCAGATGAGTTCTGTCTTGGTGAGCGATGCGTATGGCGCCCAAGGGCTGGTCGTTGCCGCAAAGCGACAGAAGAGAGGCCAAGGCAGACGCAGAGGGAGAGGCCAGCGGCCGCCGGCCTTGCAAGGCGACGACGACCTTTCCTTTTCGGAAGGCTGGGGCTCAGATTCGGCCTCGGAAGCGGAGGAAGTCGAGGCGAATCCTGCCAGCTCGTCCGCAGGACCAGGGTCGGCTAGTTCGTCCGCAGGACCAGGGTCTGCCGCTGCTGCTTCCAGTGGGCCTGCTCCGCCTGTGAAGCGCAAGCTGCAATCCAGAGCCATTCCTTGGGGTCCATTTCAGATCGCGCCGATCGTCCGGAGCCATTTGCGGACAGCATTGCGATCAAGGGAACACGCTGTCTTGCAAGAAGGCCGTGAGCCGCAGCAGCACACTGACTGATGCTGACTGCGTTCTACGCCTGAAACGATGGCTCCTCGCGGGCCACTCTGACCAACAGTGGCCGAGCCACAGGCGACGCTCGCACCACGTTGAGCTAGGTGGCAAAGGCCTCGCGGATGGCATGACAGAAGCAGAGATGGATGAGTTGGTCGCTTCTTGGAGTTGATCCACAGACAGGCCGCCGGCCGTCTGCTGCGCAGCCGCTTTGCTGAGATTCTGGCCATCTGCGTTGCTTTTTGTCTTCCTTTCAGCTACTACAAAAACTGGTAGTCCTTTTGAAGAGACACGTAGCCGGCCGGACATTCCTTTCTGCGTTTCTTTGAAAATGTAAGTGCGTAGTACAAGTTCCTATCCAGTTTGAAGTTTCAGAAGCTTGTAGAATAAAGAAACATCGCAGGCAGAAGTAATAACAATATTACAATACTACAATATTTTGTGCACGCGTTTCCAACAATTGTTCAAAAGTTTTTCTCAAAATATGATATAATATGTTTCGTAGAGAATCTCGGTTGTTGCGCAGAGCAGAGAAACCGTAGAGAAAAATAATCGAATGTTTCCATAACATGTTGTGTACTTTCTTCGAAATGTTTAAGGAAAAACATCTTGTTCTACCAAAGTTTGTTTTCCACAGGGCTGCATTTGGCCATACAATGGAGTGGCCGCGCGCACAATCTGAGGACCTGCGCTGGTGGTCCACTGGCGATTGCCAGAGCGTAGCTGCTTGTCGCAGGTCCGTGGCGCTCGCGTCAGAAATTGGGACTGCGCTAGTCAGGCTTTGTCTACTTATTCGTGTTGGGCAGGGCTTGGCTAGAGCGGGCGCAGCAGTCTGCAGTTATGTTGTTGTGTGCTAGTTGGGCAGGTCGCCTGCGCGTGTGCAGCTTTGGCTCTGGCCGCAGCATCCTTCGCACCCTTGTTTCGGTGGCAGCCATGGAAGACGACGTAGCATCGGTGGCCCCGTCAAGCACAGCTACGGCTGCTCGCGCAGGTGGGCTCTCCGCGCTTCCGGTATCCTTGTCCCTCAGCAAGGCTTGCACCTGTTGCTTATGCAACTGCAAGAGCACAGACGAAAGCCCTTTAGCCTCGCACGAGCTAGGGATAGAATTCGATGACCAATTTTGCCAATACGGCGGGGCGCGGCCCTGGAACAAGTATCGCAGGGTGCGAAACCCAGAGACCGATGCCTTCAACAGAGTTCCCGAGGGCAGGCTTTGCATGCTTTGCTTCGGCACTTTCAGGTCGCTCGGCTTGGATTACCAGTATTCCTCATACGGTGCCTACTACAAGCATGTGAGAGAGAACCCCAAGGAGCACACAAAGTTCTTGCAATCAGTCAAAGAGTATATCCGCTTGAAAAATGAAAGCCCGGGCACCAGAGTGGACAGGGAAGCGGTGAAGAAGGCTTCAACTACTTTGCACTCGGAAAGCAAGACTGGGATGAAGCTGAAAGGCCCAAAAAAGGAGTTTGTCCTCCTGGAGCATTGGGACACCAAGTTGGACGGAGAATTGGACGAGTCCAAGGTAGTGCAAGAGGTGTGGCAGGGCAAAAAAGTGAAAGGCGTCTGGAAGACGGTGGGCCGGGTCGGCGTGCTGACGGGGGAGCAGTACGAGGACACCAACATGTCTCAACGAACTGAAGAGCACAGCGGCCACGGGCCCTTTGCCGAGGAGGCACTGGAAACCAAGCGGGAAGTTCTTCAGAAGGTGCTCAATGACGCTGAAGAAGAGAGGCAGAAGCACTCTGTGGCCGCAGGCCCTGCAGCCACTGTCTTGCGTCCTTACTTTCAGCGCTAGTTCGTCAGACATTGGATCGTAATGTTTGGGCATGCTCCGTCAGGAAAGCAGGAGGGTCCTCGAACATGGACGTGTTCATCAACCAAATGGCCGCCCACGGATACGAAGGTCAGCCCGTCCTCACAGACAGCGCTGAGTTTGGCTTGCCAGCGCGCCGCAGGCGTTTGTATGTCTTTTTGGTGCGCGTTGAAGCCAACCCTCTACTTTCATTTCACGACAGAAGCGTGGATTGCATTTTTTCTACGTTCAGCGCCCTCCTATCTGGATGCGTTCGGAGCGGGCCATGTGCTTCTGAAATTCTTCTTGGCGACAATGACCCTGCTGTGGCTTCTGAACTACTTGTGAAGCAAGAGCGGCGCGAAGAGCTGGCTCAAGCAAAGCCGGTTGCTGCTGACTGGCCAGACCAGCACATGAGGATGGCCGCCGCCTTGCGTGTGAAATGGGGGCAGGGGGCGCAGCCCGAGCTTTTGAAGAATCCTTGGTACGCAACCTTGACAGATAGGGAAAAGGACGCTGTCCCGTTGTTGCAGGCCCAGCTTCCTGCCACACTGATGCGAGACTTGTCCCAAAGCATCGCGCGCGCTAACGCTGCTACGTGGAAGGCAGAAGACAACAAGCACTTGGCTCCCACCATGCTGCCCAAAATGAACGTGTGGCTCGAGCCCGCCGGGCATCGCAAGGTCGCGCGCCTGATGCTTGGCCGGGAAGGCTTGTTGTTCCAGGGGTTTCCAGCGCTTCTCTTCTTGGAGATGCTGGACGCTTTCCAAGCTGCATCGAGCGCCGCCGGCGTTGTGAGCCACGGTGCGCAGCACTCAGGCAGCAAGAGCGGGCCGAAGAAGTCGAAAAAGCAAAGCGGCGAGAGGACGGACTTCAGGCCAAAAGATCTCTTGCGCACCTGGCGCCCAACAGAAGTCCTGATGCAAGACGTAGCAGGCAATGCTATGTCGCTGCCTGTCGTCATGACGATGTTGCAGTGCGCGTTTGCTTCGGTGAATTGGCGTTCTGGTGCTGTTAGCCGAGCTGCGGACGCACCTGTCTCCACGCAAGAGGACTGGCGAGATGCCATGTGCTCTGTTTTTTGGGTTGCCTTCTTACTTCTTGGGACTTGTGTTTATCCATTTATCTATCTGTATCTCTAAAGCCGCAAAAAAAGATGTGATGTGTAATGTGTAATTTGTAATTTGTAAGCGGGTTCAATTGTTTCGGGAGCGCTCGCTCTTGTTATATCGTAACTGCGAAAGCTCTGCAGGATGTCGCCTCTGCCATGGCCGCACTCCGGGCAGTCGGGCTGTGCGAGGCCGCGGGCCATGGTGCTGAAGATCCCGAGCTTGCAGCCATAGTGCCAGAACCTCCAAGCAGAGGGGTGGCCAATTTGAAGCGCAAACTCAAAGAGCGGAAGTCGCAATGATTTTCCGCGGAGTGTCGGAGGGGGAGAAAAAAGGGATGCGCAAGGGCATGCCGCTGGTGCTTTCACAGGTTGCTTTTGAGGGGCTCCTTCGGGGCGAAACTTTATATTGGAGAACGTTCAACATTGATTTCACCAATTGCAGTCATCATGCGCAGCTACATTTTTATGTTGAAGTGGCCTTGCTGTGGCTTGAGCCTAGGTTGACGCGCAAATTGGCTTCTTTCAAACCCTTGCCCGGAAATACTGAATATAGTGTCATCGTGCCATGAGGCCACTCTATCATGGGCTTGCCATGGGCTAGTTCCCCAGCGCGTTTGACAATAATTCTACAAATGAAAACAAATCAGGCACAAATATGAATTTGTTGTACAATGAAAACTTGTTTAGAAAGATTCAAAAACAACTTGTTGCTGTTTTAATACTTTAAAAGAATGTCTGAAAACAACTTTATAGAGAATTCTTACTTTTTCAAAGAAGTTGAAATGTTGCAAAAGAAGTTGCCGCAAAGAAGTTGTGAATTCTGTGGCTTGTTGAACCTGGGTTTAGGCTCCAACCCACAGGCCTTCTAAAAACACCCAAATCATGTTTCCCTATCTTGCAGGGATGTTGGATGTTGTTTTGCTGATGAACCAAGGATGTAGTTTGATGTTGTGATCAAGAATTAAGAGGCATCGTTGGAAACCTTTGAGGATGGTTGAGCAAAGTTGACGATTGTTTCATGAAGGCTTGTTTGTTTTTGTGTTTGTGTGGTTTGTGTGGTTTGTTTGTGTGGTTTGTTTGTTTGTTTGTTTGTTTGTTTGTTTGTTTGTTTGTTTGTTTGTTTGTTTGTTTGTTTGTTTTTGGTAGTTTTTTTAACAAATAAACAATAAACATTTATGTTGTTTGATCTGTTTGTTTAATTTGCTTGGGTGGTTGTCCGTTTTGTGCTGTGTTTTGTGTTGTGTGTTGTTTTGTTTGCTTGCTTGCTTGCTTGTTTGCTGGCTTGTTTGTTTGTTTGTGTTGTGTTGTGTTGTCTTGTATTTTCCTTGTTTTGTTTGTGTGGTTGATCATTTGTTTCTTTTTTGGGTTGGTTGATTGGTTGGTTGAAGCCGCCAAGGGCTTTGGGACACACCGCGCCTTAGGCGTCTTCCGCCTGCTCCGCGTGGGGCGCATGGTCCGAGTAATCCGCATTGTGCGCGTTGTGAAGTTCTTCCGCTCACTCAGGAGACGTTTCGGTTCGTTTTTAGGTGGCCTGCAGGGCAGCCTAAGCACAGAACCACAAGCTGTTTTTGCCTTGTCTCATATTTCCCACTGTTACTGGCAGTTTGCTGCTCCAGCTCGTTACCCCCGGGTTTTGTGCGGGGATTGCCATAGTTGCAAGCTCATGTTGTTGAGTTGGATACATGATCGTATGTGCAAGGATGGCTTTGCAATGTTGTGCATGAATGAGGGGTTGTGCGCTTCCATTTTCATGCGCCCCGGTATGGTTTGGGCATACGTCTTGAAGACGGGTCGGCCTTTGAAATGGTGTTGTGTTTGCAAAGCCAAAAGGAAGCAAGGGAGCAGGTCTTCCGCCGGGTTTTTAATGCCAGGACTTTTGTGCAGTCCTTGGTCGGCACCCTCAAGGCAGGGTGCTGTGCAACACTGCACCACGGCTCCCAAGGTCCCTAAACCGTCCGCTGCGTGGTTTTGGCAAGAGTCTTCAAGAGAGTCAAGAGGTTTCACAAAAGGATCGGCCGAGCTTCTTCCTTGCCTGTCCTTATCGCAGAGCTAACCTGAGGCCGCAGAGTCCTCATCAATCGCTAAAGAGCGCCCGCTTGGGGCGGCTGGAGGAGTGTTGGGACATAGAAACTGGTGAGGCCCGCTTTCCGAGATAGAAAAATAAGGGAACACCAGTAAAACGTGAGCGGATGGGGTCAGAGCTTGAGACAGTTTCCACCGAGGTTCTTGTCAAAGTGTAATTATGTTCCATGTGGTGTGTTGAGAAGACGCTTTTTCCGAGCACCACTGAGTGTTTTGACTTCGCACGACGTGGGTTCTTCGTGGGCGGCGCTTTTGGAGAGTCACGATTTGAGTATTGGAACCAATAGGCATCTTGGTGGCTCCCAGCCATCCCCTTAGCTTTCTAGCCTTTTAGTGTTTAGTGGTAGTTTCCATTTGACCCACTAAAAGTTAAACTTTTAGCGGGCCATCTGAGGGCAGCAACACATCCGAATATGGATGCTTTGCAGTGCAAGCGCAACCCAATACGGCAGGCGCTGTTTTGGGCGCTCGTCCTGCTGTTGCTCATCATTTACATCTTTGCAACACTGCTCAAATCCAACTTTTGATATATATTTTTTGGCTTTTCTGTGCCAGTCTTTGCCAAGGTCCAAAAGTCCCCAAAGGTTATACAACTTGTTCCCAGGACATTTTTAAGAGCGAGTGAGGCGATCATCTTCACCGACACTGTTTGGAGTCAGAGCGTTGGCCAACGGGACGAGCGCTTGGACCGGTACTTTGGGACCCTGCCGCTTCCACAGCACGACGATTTTGGCAAAAGTCCTTAGCAGGGGCGGCTGACAGCGGCCTTTGTGTAGTACAAGCCGGCTGTTCTACCAGTCGTGTTTTGCTTGATTGCTTGCTTGCTTGATTGCGTGCTTACTTCCTTCCTTGCTTACTTGCTGGTCGTTGTCCTGCTTGCGTTGCTTTGCTTTAGTTTGCTTTGCTTTGCTCTGCTCTGCTCTGCTCTGCTTGCTTGCTTGCTGGGCTGGTGTCCTGCTTGCTTTGCTTTGCTGTGCAGTGCTTTGCTGTGCTTGGTGTCTTGCTTGCTTGCTTGCTTGCTTGCTTGCTTGCTTGCTTGCTTGCTTGCTTGCTTGCTTGCTTGCTTGCTTTCTTGCTTGCTTGCTTGCTTGCTTGCTTGCTTGCTTGCTGGGTTGGTGCACTGCTTCCTTTCCTTTGCTGTGCCGTCCTTTGCTTGGTGTCCTGCTTGTTTGCTTGGGTTGGTGTCCTGCTTGCTTGTATGGTCGGTGTCCCTCTTGCTTTGCTTTGCTTTGCCTTGCTTTGGCTGTGCTGTGCCTTGCTTGGTGTCCTGCTTGCTTGCTTCTTGCTTGCTTACTTGCTGGGTTGGTGT